CTCTTGCTGTTGCTGTTGCTGTTGCTTTTGTTGTTGTTGTTGCTGTTGCCGTTGCCGTCGTCGTCGTTGTTATTATTGTCATTGTTGTCATTGTTGTCATTGTTGACGTTGTTGTTGTTGTTGATGATGATGATGATGGTGGTGGTGGTGGTGGTGGTGGTACTACGGCGGTCACATCGTCTTGTCGCGCCGGGACACTCTTGTGCCTTGTGCTGTTGGTGATGCTAATTTCTTCAGCCTAGGGCTTGACGATGCCTTGCTGCACCTCGCACACGAGAACCCCAACGTGTTTACTGAGGAGCTCAAGTTTCCGATGCACCTGTGTCCATATTTGCTGAGTTTGTTGCATAGTGAAAGCAATGCGAGACGCCAGGCACTGTCAAGCTTCGTGAACCATTCCTGTGACAATGACAGAGGTATGTTGTCCCACTACAGACCTTCATGCACATGACCGCGGTGAAGCCCTTCGAAGTCCTAATGCAAGAAGAGGCTCTGGTCAGGTACCAGCCGCACATGGGCGACTCATATGACAGAAGCCCCGGATGCCGGATCTTGAAGAAATCACCCTGCAAAAATGCAGTATCGATCTGTAGCCGGGTGCCCGCAGTAAGCTCAGGCGATGCTATCTTCGTATCGCATCAGTGGGCGGGGCAGAACCATCCTGACCCGGATTTTCGGCAGCTGCGCATTCTGCAAGGCGCCCTCGAGAACATGATGAGGACCTGGGGCCGTGGCCGTGGCCGCCGACACCGTGCAATTTTCTGATTGCTAGAGTATTGCGATCTACCGCGCGGTCGCAGCCCTCCGCCTGCCATGCCGCCACATGTTGTGTATATTCCCTCTTCTAGCACCGGGTGCCAAGTCCAAGCCCCCTCAAGAAGATTGATGTTGGAAGCTTCGCAAGGCGTGCTTCCCAAAGCCGGTAGAACGCAGCCTCAAGCGCTAATCAACCCCTAAACCCTAAACCCTAAACCCTAATAAAGGAGCTCAGTGGAGATCCCTGGCCCCGCCCTTGCCTTCGTAATGCTGGGCGAGCGACGATGCTTTCACAGCTCGGAGCTGATGGTCTCCCCTCTTTTCATCTGGTACGACTCTGGGTGCCAAATTGGGATAGGATTAGGCTCTGTGTGGTTACGTATTATAGAAGCTTAACTGACTAGGACTAGGAGTAATTTGAGCCAGAACGACCTAGGACTACTTCTGTTGTCCGCAGTTGGAGACGAAGCCCAGCAACGAAGCAACGTCTGACCTGCAGAATGCTGTGGACAGCATTCCAGGGTATGTCTATCGTGCAAAGTTCTTTGTTGTGCTGGCTCCAGTGGTTCAACATGCTCTGGATGGAACGCTTATCGGAAAGCAGGCATGGGGAATGGACGGTCAAAAAGATGCTAGTTATGTCAAGCTTGCGGAAGACTATGATGATATGTTGGCCAAACTCCAAAAGACCGTGCTACAGGTTGACGTGTTTTACAACGACAACCACCACCACCACAACAACAACCGCAGCAAGCACAACAACCACAACAGCACCGGCAGCAGCAGCAGCAGATAGCAGCAGCAAGTGACAACAAGCAACATCAAAGCATCGACCGGCAACAGCAACCACGATGGCGTTTGATGATGTTGATGATGATAAACATGAACAAAACTGGGTGTTTGGGATAGGCTATAGTGTAGTGCAGGGACCATCGGGGCTACTATGACCAATGATAATTTCCGCCCATAATGGCCTTCGAACCCGTTCTTTCGAGAGGTGTGCTTCAACCGTAATCTAAAAGAGCTGCAAAATGTGTGGACCCTGAACCCTCGAAACTGGGGCCTTTTAACGATGTTTGCATTTGGGTAGTTCTCTAAAGGTCCCTGTTTAGGTCCCAATAAAGTACGGCACCCTTATAAACAGGACCCCAAAAGGGACCCTAATTTAGAAAACTACCCATTTACGTTTTTGCATCATAGGTCGGCCTGGACGGAGCTGGCGGCTTCGCCCCGCTCTAGCAAGGACCGGGACTTTGGTTTAGCTACAATAATAATAACAATAATATTAATAATAATAAGAATAATAATAATAATAATATTAATAATATTAATCATAATAATAAAGATCATAAACTACACAAAATATACGACCATGTACGATACTACACATGCTATAAGGCACTAGGGGTCGGATCTTAATTTTGTTTGTTTCAGATCCGGGTCTTGAGCCAAGGCCGTACGCCCTAAGCCCAGAGTAGAATTTGGGAGAGTCCAAACCTGGACCCTAAACCCTAAACCCTTCTCTAGCGTGACGGAACTATGTGGAGCCTTGCCTGCCTTGTGCGAGAGTAAGAGTCGAAACCCTAAACCCTAAGCAAGCCTTGTGCGAGTGTGTGAGTCGAAACCCTAAGCAAGACAATCCAGGAGGCTCCGGTATCGCCGATCGAGAAGTTGGTGGCCAGCTTCAGCTTCAAGGCATTCTTGGAGAATTCAATGAATATTGGAGTGCATCCGAGTACATTGTTGTTTCTTAAAGTATGTTCGAGCACATCAGAGCATCTTGGAGTACCTTGGACTGTATTAGAGTATATCACCGTGCAGTCGAGTATGTTAGGGGCTGTTTCAGTACATCATCGTACATTGGAGTATGTTAGATTTCAATAGTGCAGCGTTATACACTCGATCCCCCTTCTGGCTTGCAGGAGGTGGCAGCTTGGTACAGGCAATTAACAAGCAGCCGCATGGGAAGCTTCTTAGTCCCGTCCCAACTGCATCTTTTTGCCAAGAAGCGGCTGGTTCCAGTAGACCCGGCCGTGTGCCATGCAGAGCGCGTTGCATGGTGGCTTGGCTCCGGCCATCGCCGGCTTCCTCTGGCCTTCGGAAGTCCAGGACCTCCGCTTTGAAAGTCTGTTCAAGTTACGGAGACCCCCTCCTACATGAGCGATGATAGCAACAAAAATCAACAAAACCAAAGCTGTAAGACTGAGCAATGACAGTTCTCGTAATACGTACAGTATCCCCTTTCCCACTCATAAAAACGATAATGGCGATACTAGTAGTGCCAGCAATACCGATCGCATCACTACGGGTTTGCCCTAAACCCTGAACCCCAAACCCTAAACCCTGAACCCTAAACCATGAACCCTGAACCCTAAACCATGAACCATGAAGCAGGTCCTGCAGGCAGCTGCACAGCGATTCACGGAGTTGCGGGCCGCCGCGCTTCGCTTCCTGACCTCCCCAGAAGCTCGCAGGCCTTCGTAGGTAGTATTATTAGGGGTACCCCTTAAAGGGTACCCCTTCTGAACCCTACTAGCTCCCACTTCGTAAGAGCACCATATAAGCTCACCTTCAACTAGAGTTGATGGTTGGGGTTTACATTTTTAAGAGGATGAGTTTGCTGGCCGGGCGAGCACGAATCAAGCCTGTGTAAAAAGCGGGTAGGAGCACCTGGAACTACCATAACTCACGATTTGGGCAGGGTGTCCAGTCTAACCCAAAATCATGAATTCTAAGAATTCCTTTTGCGACTGTATGCCAAAAAAAAGGATAGGTTATGGTGAGGTCCAGGCACATCTTGGTTTGATCCTCGGATGTAGGGTCATGAGAAGGCGCGGCACGAATAGGGTCGATCGTTTGAATATGCAGGGTTATCGGAATGAGTACTTTACAGGGCTCGGGCCAGTCACAGTGTAAGCATATTCACACGCAAGTTTGCTGACGAATTCTGGCGATGCGGTAGTCCAGGTGGGAAGGAATGAGACCAACGGCTGTGAACAGCGGTGAAGGTTGAGGTAAAACTTCAAAGCCGAAACGAGAGTGAGAATGGAGGGTGCAAATCTCAATAATCTCAGGAAGACGTCGGGTAGTCCCACGAAGGTCGCTCCTTCAGATGATCGCAGCTGCTGCCGGCAGTGCCACGGCGGAGGCTGTCTTGAGTTTTGACTCCTCTCCAGCAAAGCCCTGGCCGTCCTTTGAAGATGGTTTGCTGGTTCTGTGGTGCTGCGATCAGCCCATCCACCGGGAGCGGAAGGCAATGCAAGTTGCCCTTCGAAGTGGCCCTGTCATGGCCGTGAGATGGTTGCTTGCTGCACGGGCCGACGTGGAGCAGCCGGTGGAGGGAGACCTCACGCCTTTGCGCTTGGCTGCCCGCTTCGGGAGTGAAGAGCTCATTGAGATGCTTTTGGAAGGCTCCGCAAACCCCAACAGTCGCGGACGATTTGGCAATACGGCCTTGATGGTCGCTGCCATGCACGGCCACCACCACATAGTTGAGCTGCTCCTGAGCAACGGCTCTCAGGTCAACACAAATGGCGATGGCGAGACCGCAATTGATCTTGCTTGCCGTTACCCGGATGTCGCTGACCTGCTCACTAGACATGTCAGCCAATACGGCTGGACCGGTGCTCGGCCATTGAAAAGAGTATGGAGTCAGGAGTTCCAAGCCCGTTTACCCGGCTTTGTTGCTGTTTTGGAAGCAGGGCGCTTTGCATTCCAGGCCGTCTGCATGGTTGCCATCATCGCCAACACGATGTACTTGGGTGTCAATGCGGACTGGAAAATCAGGCAGGCTCATCTGGGAGTTTGGAAGTCAAGCGAACCAAACATACAAAGTGTATTCAGCCCGCTTTTTGGAGGAATGCTTTCGGTCCCATCGACGGTCGCCAAAGAGAGGTGGAGGATACAGCTTGGGATATAACCTTCGCGGTTTGGCCTCTTGGCAAGATAAGCTTGAAGCATCCTGCTTGACCCGCACCTCCGCCTTCTACAATCTGTCGTGGGCTGTTTTCCTTGCTGCGCCTCTATCATTTGGGTTTCTAGCCCGAGGTTCTCCATTGAGATCCTCTTGCGCTTGCTAGCCGAGAAGATCAGCTTTTTCACCGGCGAAGAGCAGGTGCTCTAAAGGGCTCGCCACTTCACGACAGCAACGACGCCAACAACAGCCGCAACAGCATCAGCAAGACAAGGAACGAATTAAAACATGAGCCCCGTACAAAAGCAAGTTCGCACTTTTGCCTGTAGGTTGTTCAGCAGAGGGGGGAGTTGCTGCTCTTCCGGGTTTGGTCTCTTCTATTGGGTGTAGAAACACAAATTAGATGTTGTGTAGAGTCGAAAACACAAACCCTGGAGCCCCACGGGTTGTGATGGGGGCGCTTACTGTTGTTCTTGCTGCTCCCTTGCTAAGAAATTACCAAACCCCTAGCCCTAGCCCCAAGCCCGCATGGTAATGCCTTTCCCCTCAAAGAGTCTAGGACTCTAGGACTTAAGACGGGCTTTGGGCTTGAAGGGTGCACAACACAAGCCACACCGACCCTCCTAAGCCGCTCTCAACAAAAATGGTGCCCCTTACTATCAGCGGAACCAAGGTCTGGTTGGTTGTTCTACTCCCCCTCCCACTACTAGTTACCGGTTAGTTTCTAGTGCTACTTGTACGACTACCACTTGTGACACTACCATCACTACCACTGGTGCTGCCGCTGCTGCTGCTGATATTGGTAGTAGTAGTAGTAGTAGTAGTAGTAGTAGTAGTAGGCGCCCCCCCCCCCGTGCCAACTACCTCTGCTACAACGCTCTTAGAAGCACATCCACTTTGCTTGGCATTTGCGGTACGTTCGTCGTGTCATACCACTTCTTCTTGCCTGACAATCCACTCCTGGATTTTGGAGAACTGGTTTTTGGGGTTGGGGTTGGATGGGGGTGGGGAGGGGGGTGGGGGGGATGATGACGTCATTGTTACACAGACACCCCGAACAATATCTCCACAAGAGCCGTTTTACTCGATATTCATAGTACTTTCGTGACGTCGGACCCTCTTATATAGTCACCAAACCTACTTCTGGACTTTTGCGAACTCGTCTTTGAGATTTCGGAGGGCTTTCAGCGAAAACTCGAAATTTGGTTCGGGGAAGCTTTTTCGGGGATGATCACAACACTGTTTCGCGGACACTCCGAACAATATCTCCGCAACTAGCGTGCGCACACCACACAGTACTTCAAAAGCAAACCCTACTACGCCGGGGTCGAGGCTTTAGGGGTGTTGGCGAGCTCCTCCCCCGTACAGGTGGCATCTTTGTTTTGGATGTTCATAAGATGCTATGCTGCAGGTTTTAGGAGTGTTTAGACCTGCTTGGCAGCACCTGCCTTTTGCGCGGTATTTACAGCGCTTTCTTGCACCCCCCGTCCCGCTGGCAAGATTGCAAGATTGCATTTCCTTGTGCACCCTCTTAGTGGTTCTAAATCCTGGCGCAATCTACTACTACTACTACACTACTACTGCTACTACTACTACTACTACTACTACTACTACTCCTGCTGCTGCTACTACTACTGATACTACTACTACTACTACTACTACTACTACTACTACTACTACTAGTACCACTGCTAGTACCACT